CAAATCCAGGCTCCTTTCTTTTTTTCAAGCATTGGCTATAGAGGGGGGTAAAGGCGGCTATAAACGGGTCCCAAGGGGGGTGCCTTAGTCTGATTCGGTTGTTTTCTTTTTATCTCCAATTCCGTGAGGAATTCTGATGCAACCCTCAGCCAAAAGTCATTTGTATTGCAATTCTACACAACATCGTTTTTGTTTTTTTTTTTGTTTTTGCGCTGGGGCTGCCCAGAACACTGCCCGTGGCTCATGCCCGGCCAGGCACCCGGGCGTGTATCCGCGCACAAGCTGGGTGCCCGGGCACCCAGACAAACAGCCTAGGGAGAAACAGCAGCTAATCCTCTAGCCTCCATCGCCCACAAGTAGTACATCCCCGCCTCTCCTGCTTATTGGAGAGTGGACTGTGACAGGATGGAGACCGCCATCATTCTATGGCAATATAAAACAGACCATGAGGTCTGGGTTCTCGTTATATCGTCAATATGTGATGGGCTGTGAACCGACAGTCTGTAGAGTTTCCATCTGGTGTGAATGAGTGATAGTCTGCTTTGATTTTCGTCACAGGTACCTTGACGGCAGTGGCTGGTGCCCAGCTCAGCGTATCAGTTGTCAGGCAGTCGTTGATCCTTAACCGCAGCCGGGGTTAAGGTGGATTATCACTTACAGTGTAATCAGTTAAGGGATTCTGCAGACTGTTGAGGGTTCCGACCCCTGATGAGTCGGTGAAAGTCCGACGAAACAGTTTGTCACAGCCCCTCGTTTGTTGTCCTCTTCTCCCTCCCTCTCTGCCTACGGTTTACCGACAGCTCTGTTTGACGATACATACACATATCTCGTTATACAGCACTTCCCAGTGAACCATACGCAGAGAGGGAGAAGAGGACTACAAACGAGGCGCTGTGGCAGACTGTTGACTCATATCAGTAGACGCGCCCGGTCCCCTAACCGATGATACTGTAAGTGATAAACCATGTGAACACTGGTTGTGGTTGAGGATCAACAACTGCCCAACTGATACCTTGAGGTGGGCACCAACCACTACACTCTAGGGTACTCGTGATAAATGCGAAAGCAGAAAATGGGCCTCGCCGCACCACTCACCAAATTTGAAAAAGACAAAAATATGGCGATCTAGCAAGACATACATTCTCCTTTCGCACCTTCGGTTAGTGGTGTGGCAAGGCCCTATCACTCACTCGTACATGTGTATGAAAATAAAAAAGAAAACAAACAGGTCTTAACCCGTATTTCAACTATATGGATCTTCCACCCACCTGAATGTCAGATACGTCTTCACCCCAATAGAACGCCTGGTCATTATCGCCGCATCTGGGCTGAAAGTTGCCCCAAATACAGCGATAATGACCAGGTGTTACAAATCGGGTGATGACTGTCGTGTGAATTTATTCTATCCAGGGTCTATGCATGGTAAGATAAGGCAGGACATAACTTCCTGAAACCACCAGTTCAGTCGATGCCTTTGTTGCGGTCTGAAAATTTTCCCATTGCAGGCATATTGGACTGGCTAGAGGCAGAGGCAGCTACGTTGAAAACACTGCCTCCGCGTTTACAACAACACTATTGTTACGATCCTGGTCATTTCCCAAGTGCAAATTCACAATGAAAGACAATGCCACCAAATTGCGAAAGAAATGAAAGCACTTGCAAGAGATAAAGACCGAGGAGAGGTAAAGAGGAAGAAGAAGAAGAAGAAGAAGAAGAAGAAGAAGAAGAAGAAGTACACCAGCAAGACCAATGACAATTCCCCCTTCTCTCTCCACCTTCCTCCTTCCTCCTTCTCTTCACCAATCTTATTCTTCTCTCAACAATAATAATAACAATGAATGGATGAACCAGAATCAATGTCCGAAGTTTCCCCCTTACTGCTGACTCAACTCAC